CCCTCAAAAAAAAAAAAAAAAGAGATCGGGTAGTTGTTGTTATTAGTTTGTAATTACTATAGAAGCCACTGGTCTTTTTAAAATTTATGTACTCAGTAATCATGTGCAATTTATTATATATCAATAGTTAATATCCATATTTGGAAGGATTCCTGGTGTTGGAGTATCAGACTCCTTTAGCTGTTGAAGTCGAGCAGCTTGTGCTGGTAGGGCGGGTGGCCCCTGGCTGCCACGCTGTCTCTCCTCAGCCCTCCTGGCCGCAGGTGCTCTGTCTGGAGAGGGGAGACGTGCATCTGTATCTTGTGAAGAGCTCACACATTCCCCTGGTAGTGCCTGCATGGCTCCTGTTTCTCTACGATAACTCGGTCCCTGTTTATGGACGGGTGCTGCCCCTGCTACTTCGTTTTCTGTTGGAACTAGCTGCTCCCTGATTTCGGGAAATAGCGGAGTAATCGAATGGGAGAAGCTCTGCAGCATTCCGGGAGGTGCAGAGTAATAGTTAATCCCACCTTTAAGGCTCATTTTCTATGCAACTGTTTTGTTTTGTTTTTGAGAGGTTTTTGCTATAGTGCGCATGTGCTCACCAGAAAGCCAAAAAGAGAGACAGAGAGACAGAAAGCAAGAAATCACCCCCCTGGAGGGATGGCCATGCTACAATCCCTTCTCCACTCTCCTCTCGGGATCTTGGGCACGCACGCACATGAGCCCAGCATGAGTTTAAACCACCAGGTCTGGGACTTGAACCATGGTCGACTGTATGGGAGTCCAGCAACACAGCCATTACGCCATCTGCTGGTCCCTCCATGCAACTTCTTAATAAATTTCCTAACACCTCTGCTCTAATTTTTCCTCAGAGAAGAAGCAATAAAAAAATCACTTGACTGTTAATGTGAGGAAATAATAAAAGTAGCAGACTTCTGGGTGCTGTTACCGCTGAGCCATGGGATAGTGACCCGGCGACTTTCCTGCTTTTGTGTACATCTCTATTAATTATGTTGATTTGTCATTTATGATGTTTGTTCACTTTGCCTTCCCAGTGAGCTGCTAAGTTCCTGGCAAGGAGAGAAAGTCTATTATGCCTTACTTTTACTATGATCCTTGTAATACCTAGCTGCCAGTCAGCTGCTGATGGATTGCAGATGCTATCTCCTTAAAGAAAGCATTTACCACGATACATGGTATCCTGTGAAAATGTAAGATGACTTCATGTTTCTGGGGTAAATAGTAGGTCAATTAAATTTTGTGGGCTGTGGTCTGTCCTGTCGGGAGAAACTCTTTCTTTCCTTGCACCCATGAGGTGCAGGCTGTGGGAACACCCTTACTGCTTGTTCTTCTCTGCTTTGATTGTCAGCCAAGTATTTGGTGTGGAGCCATAACACAAATGAAAGCATTCCAAAACTATAAAAATTTAGAACAACCAGACGACCTTGCTGTCTCTTAAGATCTGCAAGCTTCAGATTTGAAGTAATTAGGAGGGAGTCTAATTGTGACTGGTTTTCTTTTAAAACACTGCACTGTTTGGACTGGGGTTGATTTGGCCCATGCCGAATGGAACAGACACAATGAGGCTGGTCTGTGTCGGAGAGGCAGTACACTGTGTATTGTTCAGTCCGGGGTTTGTTTTCCTTTGGCCAGCAAGTGAGAGCCTCCCATTTTCCAAGCAGTAGTAACACCCCTGGAGGCTGGCCTTTGCTGTCATGCCTTCCCACCCCACAGACTCTGCAGACCCAGCCACTGCGACTGACCACTTGTGCCTGGGAAGTCAGCCTCCTTTCCTTCCTTGGGCCCCTGGCATGCATGTGCCTTGCACGGCCAGGGACTCGCAGCTGTTCTAGTTGTAGACTTTCTGAGTTGCGTTGTCAGCCGAGAATGCAGGCTGATAAATGCAGGACCAGTGGTAGAAATGTCAAAAAGGAGCTGGTGATTGAGTCCCCCCTGCAGTACAAGGATGCAGCTCAGGGAGACGTGGAGGCAGAGAGCCCAGACCCCGTGCTGGTAAGAGGATCTTGTCTGAAGTGCTGTTTTGTTGGGGAGAGGGAGGCCAGTGTTGATGCCTCTTGCCTCCGATTTTAAAACTTTTTCTGCTTGTCTCTTGTGTCTTCTTCCTCTCTTTTCCTGAACCCTGACTTCAGTTCTACTTTTATTCTTCTTTTAGAGGAAGAGATGTTGACATTTTGTGGGTGAACGTGGTTTCCAGGAGGCTTCCTAGTATAGAACAATGATGCATTGTTCAAAATGATGTCCCACCTAACTGCAACATTTCCCAGCATAAACCCAGAGAGGCACATTTTAAACGCAACCACATGTTGGCAGAAAGATGCACTTGGCTAACTAAAACCTTTTCTACATTATCTCTGTGTTATTGAGAAAACAAGGCAGGTGGCATGAGGAGGAGGGTGGCATTTAAGAGAACATAACTGTTGAAATTACGTTTGTTCTCTCTCACTCCTTTTAGCAAAGCTTACCTTGAACAAAGTAGGAAAGAATCTCAACAAAGTTTCTGGTCTTCATATTAGCGAAACCCTTGGCAGTTTGGACTAAGTCAAGTGCTTTGGTGGATTTGTAAGGGAGGAATGTGAAAAATGGTTGTGTTATCATCCATGAGTAGGTTGTGCTTCTCTCTTGGAATTTCTTTAGTACAATAAAGGCACATAATTTCTCAAGCAAGCTGCAGAAAAACCACCAACATGCGCTGCAGAGGACACAATCGAGCCTTTCAACTTATCAGTTAAAAGGACTGTTAAACTAGTAGTGATCTTACATAGTGATTTTTTTTTTTTTCACACGAAGGTCCAGTTGCTTTTACCGTGAAGTGTTTGGTTACTAATTTACTTAATTTTCAACTAGCGTCCTGTAAGAATCTGAACTTAAATTTTCCAGCACACATTTGATTTGAACTGAATTGCTTTCCTGTGTGACCTGTGGGACTGACCGCCTTCCATTGTACTGCCTTCCACGCTGTACTGTAACCCGGAACCCCGAGTCAGTAAACGGGGTGGTCATTCTCACTGCAGATTTGTATCTTACAGCTTTAAGTTTCTTTTTTTTTCCCTTCACCCTTCAGTGCATTGTTTAGAAATGTTATTCATTATTTTGGAGCACTTTCTGTTCGTGTAATAGCTCCTTTATCTGTTGAGTCCCTTGAGTTGCTTACATGCTATATAGATTTAACTGCTTAAAGCTTCCAGCTGATGTAGCTTGGAATTTCTTGGAAGAAGTTCTGTGGTTTGGGTTCTCTTGTGAATGTTCTTAAAAATCTCCTGTCAGTGATTCTCCAGATGTGTAGAAATATTTGTCTAGGGGACCGGACATGCTATAGAAAGATGCCACGTGATTTTTTTTTTTTTTTTTAATGACACAAGTGACTTTTAAAAAAAAAAGTTATTTGTCTTTCTAGTGCTCAGAAAACTTGCTGCTCATGTACCACTTACTCGTTTAGGTCAGATCTGACTCCAGGCAGTTCCATGGGGAGGTCTTCGCCCACCGCAGCGGGCAGTGGAGCAGGCCGGGCTGGCTGGGCCGAAAGGGCAGGAAGGCTCCTCAGGGCCCAGAAGCTTCTGGCCATTTGGACTGAGAGGTGTGAGGGAGAGGTGAAGGCAACACTGATACAAGGAACTTTTTCTTATCTGACAGTGCTTCTCTTCTTTCAGCAGGGTAAGCAGATCAAAAGAGCTAATACCAGATAAGAGCAGCACAGATACTTAAGCAAGGCCTCTGCTCAGGGCAGATCTCCTTCCTCGTGGCTGTGTCTGTCCACAGCAAACGAGTGTGTAACACACTGCTCAGAATACAAGTTGTTTCACAAGATCTTTTTTTTTCCCTTTTCTTTTTTTCTGTTACAGAGAGTGGGGGTGCACTCATGAGAAGCACCTTCCCAGGGCCTAATCATGCTGTGACCCCTCTCCCTAGCCTCCCAGCTCCTTAGAGTCCCGGGTGCCCAACATGTTCTCAGGCCGACCTGAGGACCCAAACCCATGGTCACCGTATAGCTTCCAGATTTGCGGGGCAGTTGCATTACCTCTGTGCCTTAGCCGTCTGTGCCTTAGCTGCCGTGTCGATGTCTTCGAAGAGTTCAGACACGGCTGTGAGAGCTCCTGTAGTGTTGTTCCTTGATTTTACATCAGTCCACAGTCTTGGTAAGACTCCCCAAGTCTGTCTGTCCTTTCAGCAAATTATACCAAGTACGGCCCTGCTTTGTTCAGCATTAGAAATCAAGTTTTTCTCGCTTTAGTTGTGTACACAGTCTTTGAGAGGGAGTATTAGTTTAGAGGGGTAAAAGTCGTTAAAGCCTGTGATAAGAAATGCGAATAGTGTCGAAATGGGAAAGAACAGTGTCCTTATCCGTTCTCTTCCAAGGTGGCCACAATGAATAACCTGGTGTATACACTTTCAGCCTTTCTCCTACACATAAAAAGCATAACTTGGTGTGTATGTTTTTGGAAAATGTCTTAGTGGAATAGATTTCATGTTGTCTCCCAGAACACATCAAAAACTTTTTTGTTGTTACCAAATATGCATTTATGACATGATTCTGTTTTTCTTCATGATAGAAAGTGCGTGTACACATGTGAGAGAGAGAAGAGTGTCTGCCAGCGTGCTCTGGTTATGTTGCGACTCCGTTTTTGGTCATGTTGCAATTCCATTCTGCCAAGTCTCCAGCCTGTCAGTGTCCTGTCATGGGCATGTCCAGCAAGTTTTGGGTTCTGAATCCTGGGCAGCTACGTGGCTTCCAGCATCGCAGTCTGGGATTCTACCAACTGCATCATAGAGGTGGGGCCTGTGCCATTATTTTAAATGGCTTCATAGCATTCCATTTTCTATATTTCAGTTTATGTCTATACCAAATGATGGTGTAGACATAAATGTGGTGGTTATTCAATATGTTTCATATTCTCTGCAGTTAGTAGCAATGCCTCAACTAATGTACTGGTAATTATATCTTAATGCTCTAATGCAAACCAGAAGCACCACTTATTCTAATCACTTGCTTTTTTTTTTTTTTTAAATTTCCAGAGAGCACATGCACTCACTAGAGATAGCATGTTGGCTGTGTGTGTGTGTGTGTGTGTGTGTGTGTGTGTGTAAATACCCCCCATGGAGAATGGTTATGCTACAGTTTCTTCTACTTAGTCTTGCCCTTCTGTTAGGGTTTTGGGAATGCATACATCTGTACTGGTATGTTTTTCAAGCTGGCTGGTCTGGGACTGACTGTAGTTGGCCATGTGGGACCCAGCTGCTTTAACCACCATACCACTGGCTGGCCCTCAACACATTTTCCGTCAAAAGTTTCCTCTTGAGCCAGCACAGTGGTTAAGGCACTGGATCTCACATGGCCAACTCCACTTTTGAATCTTGGATCTGGCTCTTGAAAAACACACCGGTTGCGTGCGTACATGTGCCCTGAATCCCTAGAGGATAATAGAGGAGAAGACATTGCCGTGTGGCCAATCCTCTTAGGGAGTGATTTCTTACTTTCCCTCTTTTGCTGTCTTTCTTTGGCACAAATCCTGGGGTGTGTGTGTGGGGGGGAGGTTTCCTCTTGCCCTTTTGTTTGGCAACAACGTTTCTGCCCTTTTCCAAGACAAGAGTTAGGATTTCCCTTAGCAGCAGCTGCCTGTTCAGTGATAGGGAAGGTCAGTGTTTCCAAGCCAGGTTTGTGTTTGTTCATCATGAAGTTTCAGAGGCTGCAGGGTTCAATTCACAGATACCTACATAGGTGGGTCTTGTCCCCTGCGTTGTGACAGTAAGTGGGAAAGGAAGTGCACAGTGAAACGTCCCCATTTCAATCCAGGCTCGCTGCCAACCCCGCTGAAAAATGACTGTGGCCGTGAGTGAATGGCAGGGGCCCATCAGGATATTCTTGCTGTCTACATGTGCGTTACCCTGCTTACGTTCGAATGCTTATTTTTGCATCCCGGACTCTTAAGTAGTTTCTGGAAATGACTTATTCTAATTAGTACGCCCAGCAGTTTAGGGGAAAAGGGCGTGGCCTCCCAGAGTCAGAGTGACTTGGTTATCTGTCATTGTTGTGGCGCTTTCTTGGGTTCTGTTAGTGAGGCAGGTGAGGACTGCAGTGCAGGTCTTATTCGGGGAAGTCTGGAGGTGGGAAGAGACACTGAAGGGCTGAATTTTCACGGTGGGTGTATTCGTTACTGTTTTTTCAAGTTTCCTTTAAGAGACACCTTTTAGATTTTTCATATTTCTCTGGGATCTTCACATGTTAACAACTGAATCTGAGTTCTGACCATAAAATCTGGATGAACACATGAGCACTAGCTGTGTAACTTCATGAGAAGGCAGCCTGCGCGCCTGGCGTGGAAAGGGATAGCGAGGGCTTGGCTTCTGGTTGCGCAAGTCTGAGAGGAGGGAATGAGACTAGAAAGCTTCTACCCTGGAGTTCTGTGTGCTCTAGACACAGCAGACTAGGTGAATCCAGACTCGCACTCTGGAGCGTAAGCGTGTGGGTCATGGGCACTGTGAATGTCCCAGCAGACCTTGGATCACGGTGATTGAGTTAATTAAATTATACTTACATCAGAAGACTGCCCTATAGGTTTTCCTGCATGCCTGTAGACTCCTTTAGAAAAAAAAAATTACGCTGATGATATTTAGTAAGTCATTTCTTTATTTTTAAAACATTAGGTGGTACAGGAACAGGAAAGAAGTTCCTGCAAGCTTGTGACATAATTCCCAGGTGACAAAAACAGGAAATTTTACTCAGAGCCACGAGCTTTCACTGCTGTGCTCTTTGTGTTTCCCGGCGTTTGTTTGTTCGGTTGTTCATTCAGCCCACGCTTACAAGTACTGAGGTCGGCCAGCTGGAGCTTGGGGTGCAGAGCTGGCAGAGACTGGTCTTTCGCTCCCTGAGCAGCAAGGCCTGGGTAGTGGGGGCTCACCCCTCAGAAGTGCTCCCACCTTAGTGAATGGTAACCTCACCTACCCTTTCCAGGCACTGGGGCAGGCAGCTCTGAGGTCAGCGGCAGCGCCAGGGCCGA